CGGTGCAAAAGAGAGCCCGAGCTCTTATTTAGGTTTGATAGTTCTGGGTTTGGGGTCTATAAGGGATCAGGTTTTCGGATTTAAAGTTTAGGGCTCAAGAAGCTGCTGGTGCGGGTGCTGCTGCGACAACGACTACTACTGTTGCTGTAGTGTTCTACTCGACTACGACTACGATTACTGCTGCTGCTGCTGCTACTACTACTACTACTACTACTACGATGACTACTACGACTACTACTAGTAGAGTACTGGTAGAGTAGTAGTGGTATTTGTACTACTAGTAGTACTAGTACTCGTACCAGTACTACTGCTACAAATCCTCCCTCCCACTACTATTCCAACCCCCTTAATCGTTTGGCTAGGGTCCCGGTCCGCGCTTATTCCCAATCCTGGCCCGGAGGGGGGGGGGGGTATTAATCACGCCGACAGAATATCCAGTATTGTCAAGACAGGATACAGGATGCGGAAAGCCTCCGAAGCCATACTTTAGCGGATTTAGGAAGCGGGAAGCGCCGCCCGGGGGGCGCGGTAGCTCTTGCCAAAGCAGCCGGAAAAGGGTGCCTTTGTGATTCAAGTCCTATCGGTTTGTTCTCGCAGTGTCGCAACCGAAGGTCTCCCGCAGAATACGGGTCCGTCAGCAGCCGAGAAGCGTCCATGCCAGCGATCTGATGAAACCGAATGTCATCTTCGGCTGCTTGAGGTTCAGAGCATCTGCTTGGGAGCCCTTTGCAGTGTCTGTGCTTCCCCAGTGTGCGTGGATGACAAATGTTCCTTGTGGCGGTCCTGGGCTCGCCGATGGCCGGGAAAAAGTTTGGATGCTGTTGCTGGCAGAGCTCAGGTTTTACAAGCTCCGCTTCTGCAAAACTTGTTCGCAGCAGGCTGGCATCGTGAATTCTGCGACCCTGCCAGAGTTACACTGCTTGCTAAAATGATGATGTGTGCATCACACTGCATTGCCTGCTTTTCGGAGCACTGCTTCAGCAAAAACCATGCCCGCCTTGCACCATGCGTGGTTCCAGGCTGATGGCCATTTTCCTGCAGACGTAGCTGAGAGGCTTTCGAAGGATTTGCGGAAACTGTCGCAGACAGACTGTGGGAAAGGGTCGCTTGCCTGTGCGTGTCACAAGTGTGCCGCGAGTTCCACTCTGAGGCAAAGCAGGAACGGTATGTGTCTTTGCAAGCCGTGGGTCAAGCCAGGACAAGATGTGTTGAGAGCAGCAAGAAGACAAAATAGCAGATACGGCCAACATTTCATGCTGATGATCCTGAAACCCAGTCCTGCGAATCTTTCCTCCTTAGCACAGTTTCTCTGAAAACTGTTGTTTGTTCCAGGTAGGAGCACCACGGATAGGCTCTGGGAGGTTATACGCCACCCAGAAGCGTGCTTCTGGCGTGGTTAGGTTCTACTTGCTTGGTCGTAGATGCTGCAACTTCCAGATCTGTTCATGGCAGGATGTCGTTGTCTTTCGTCTCCATGGAGTCAGCTCATCGAGGTAGCCACTGGCTGGGTGACCCTGTGGATTCCTCTCGTGCTGTGGCCGGCAATGTGAAGCTGGCTACCTGCTGGTTAGGTACAAGTTGGATTATGCTAACGGACATTGTGGGCACTTCGGCCCCTGTCTCGCTTCCAGTGCATGAGCATCATCAGCTCTTGTTCTTGCAGCTGTCGAGAGCAGAGCATTGTATAAGGTGCTGACATTTGCAGGAGTTGCCGCGCAGTTGGGATGGGTCCCCTCTGCATTATTGCATTGAGTGCATGCCGCAGATGCCACATGTGAGTTGCTGTTGTGCTCTGCCCTGTAGCAACGCTAGAGGGGGAGAAGAGAACACTTGCCCCAGCCAGGTGTGGACCATCGTCTTCATCGTTACTCTGGCCCCTGTTGCCATTTACACGGCACTCCTCATGTCAAGGCGGCGGCTGTGGGGACGTGCCTGTTGCCTCGGCAGTCATTCTTGCATGTGGAGGACGGCGAGTGCTTTGGCCAAATTGCCAGGAGGTCGAAGCTGCATACTTGGCACAGTTCAGGGAAATAATGTAGCAGTTGCAGAGGTGCTCGGCCGGCATCCATGGGCGAGGTGGGTGGCCTGGGGCCTGGAGCTGACTCGCTGCTTGGCCGATCCGAGGCCGCCCGGATGACGTTAGGCGGAGACAAAGCTGCATCCGCCACGTACTTCGCTGTTTATGGATTCGCATTTCTCGGCCGCTGCCTTGTTGTTAGAAAAGAAGCTGCCGTTTTTGGGGTTTAATGTGACACCGACAGGCCAGAGTTCCTACATTCTGGTCCTTGGGCAGTGCCTGCAGGCCCACGCTCTGTTCTTTTTGTCACCCCCTGTCTTTTCACGCAACCCTCACCTTCGATCGCTGCTGTCTTGATGGCAGACACTCATTCAGCGGATCCTGCTGAGGGGGTGTTCTTCCAAAGCCAGCTGTGCCTTCCAACGGCTACTGCTTTGTCCTGCCTCATGTGTCCGGAACACGGCCCGGAAGGCAGCGACGAGACACGTTGTGACCCAAGTTCCTGCTGACTGAGGCCTTCCTATAGGGGTGTCTGTGAGACACCTTTCCGATTCGGTGCCGGCCCCTCGCTACCACACGGCAGAGTTCCGATTGTGAATTTCTCTGAGGTTGCCCTTTGTTTCCTCAATTTATTCCTCATCGTCGCAGTCCTCGCCATTGCTCAAGACCCAGAAGTTGTGGACAGGCAGAGGCTGTGAAGGCAAATAGGCAACAGCTGCAAACGTCGCTGGCACAAACAAAACCAGGTCATGGCAAAGATGTACTTGGACGGGCCAGCCCCAACACTGATGTGAGTTTGGTGAGAGTCTGCGATTCCGCATGGCAAAACGCATTGCCACCGGACGCCTGTCCGTCAGGCGACCAGCCGAGGTGAACACCTTTGCTTTCGCAGAAGGTCTGTCGTTCTGGACCGTGCGCTTGTGGAGAGCTGCTGCAGATGTAGCAAGTTAGCATGCGTCACTCCAGACTTGCAGGTATTCGGTGCAGCCTCCAATGTGGTCTACTCTTACGCAGGCCCGGTCCTTTGCTTGTCTTGCCGCTGTGCTATCCAGGCTCATGCCATATTTTTCTTCGAGTTGAGCCTGCAGAAGCTATTCAAAAGCTTCAGCATCAGTGTCAGTGCTCTGTCTGCAGTCCTCGCAGTGGTGTCAGTGCGGTGTTTGCAGGCCATTGGCTTTACTTCGAGCTGATGGCAGACATGCAGACGCGCCTTCTCCGAATTTTTTCGCTGTGCATCAGCCTCTTGACGAACGAAGTTCGGAAGTTTCCACTGGTCTTCTCTCTTGCCTGCAGGCCCGAGGACTTTCCCCGGGTCTTTCTCATCAATGCGCCGCTCCAGGCAGGAAGTATGCGCTCATCCGTTGAAACCAGCAGAATCCGACTGCAGGTGTTCCTCTATTTGTTGGTGGCATGCTGGGGCCAGAAACTCGGGACTCCACAATAGGACCCTGCGCTTGTCCAGCATACGTTCAGGATATCACTTTGCTGGCGACAAGGATTGCCGGAGTGTGCCCGGCTTGAGTCTGTTGTGATGACACGGTTGTGTCAGGCCGAAGGTTACTTCCTGGACAACCTGCCAGACGGAGAACCTTACCGTTGGGTGCCTGTTCAATGTGTTAATGTTCTGGGACTCCTCTACTGAGAGTGTCCAGCAGTCCACCCCTTGTCTCGTATGCCTGAATAGATGCATTACCGCAGGCCAAGTTTCTAACGTTGACTGCCGGTCAGCCAGGCATCAATTCTGCTCTTCGCGCATGTGGCCATTGCATTTCTGGTAAAGAATGTCGTGATCTGTCGTCCAACCCTCAGATTTTTGGCGGCAGCTTGTCATCCGTGATCGTCCGTGTGAGGTGCCCTTCATGAGCGTCTTGCTCCCAGTAGGGTAAACACCGGCTTTCGAGAGTCGCGGCCTCAGCGCTGGAAGTTGGACATGTCGCTGCGGCTCCATCCCCCGTGACAGGTCAGGAGGCGTCCGAGCACAGGCAGAGTTTAGTGCCATTGTGGTGCGCCATCACTAAAGCCGTGCGATTGGTCCATGTCCCATGTCCGCAGACGAGGGCTCCAATTCCGAGTCCACGTGTTTGTACCAGGTATTCATTTTCACAATCGGGTGTCTGATCGCAAACTCCATACCGATCCCTAGCTGCGATTGGGCGACGAGGCAGTATGATCAGGCTGTGAGTGAAGCGCAGCTCGACACCAAGGTTCTTCTCCGACATGTTGGCGTTGATAGGCCGTGCGAGTCGGGCTTTTGCTGTTGTGATGTGAGACGGCACCATGTCTGGCTGATCTCGGATGGACAGGATGCCCCCAGCGATAGAAACGGTTTGTCTCATACACTGTTCCTTTCGAGATGTTGGCTAGTTGCAGGGTCCAGCCTTGGCCCTTGGCATGTGCATTAGTCGGGGTTGCGATATAGGCGCAAATCCAGACTGCAGGGAGCTTGCTCAGTGGGCCGATCTCCTTTCTCTTGCCGATAGCTGGGGCCCAGACGTGCCAAGTTGGGGCCGGAAGGGCTCAGATGACGCAATTGATGCCAAAGGCTTTCTGGATTGGGACGAGAAGGGCTCTCGTCGTGATCTTAGCCACTCGTGGCACCTGACTGTTCGAACGTTTGCGCAGCAAAGGCCGTTGCAGAGCAGATGTCAGTCAGATCAGGCCACTGGAGTTCCGTTACTTGCTTGAGTCCTGTAGACTTGCTCGCCTTGGCCTCATCCAGTAGCGGAAACGACCATGTCAGCTGCTGGCTCGACGGCATTACATTCTGACACAGATCTTGCGTAGGCCTATGTCGCGTGGCAAGCTGCAACTTTTCCCTTGTTGACTGAAAGCCCTGTGAAACCTCACTATCCATGATTTAGACTCAACTCTAGACTGGCAGCTGAAATCGTTGCATCAAATGGCTACCTGACCCGAAGCACTTTCTTTTTCCTCATACCCGCCTCTTTGGATGTAGATGGCTCGGGCCCATGGCTGGCGACAGCGACGCCGCACCACTGCCACCACGAAGCGCAGAGCTGAAGAGCAAGGGTGATCAGGCATCACCTTTTGCTGTCGGCCTCAACCCTTTTCATTTTGTCGCTCTGTGTGTGACACTGGACAGAACCAAGCCATCACCTTCTGCCGTCGGACATCCGCATGACTAACTAAGTCTTGCCCTAAAGTCATGACAAGTGCAGACTGGCAAGACTTTCAGCGCTCAAGAGCTGTGTTGATATCAGCGTGTTCACGGTAAGTGGGGCTGCCAGCGAGTGCATGTGAAGTGAATGTCGGGCATCTGTTTTTTGTTTCGCAATATATGGTGGTAGATGCGCGTGTGTGCAGGCATTCCGGGGTCAGGATTTCCGAGAAGCCGTGGCCCTGTACTCGCAAGCCCTCGAGCTGGCAGACGCCGAATTCTCGAAGACACTGCTCTCCAACCGAAGTGCCGCCCACGCCGCCTCCGGGGACTTCCGTGCCGCCTTGGAGGATGCTACCAAATGCGAGGAGCTGGCCCCGACATGGCCGAAGGCGCTGTTCCGGCGTGGCATTGCCCTTCGGGGCCTAAAGCGCTTCGACATGGCGATCAGCACCTTCGCCCAGGGCCAAGAGCAGGAACCTTGGCTTTGTGATTTGCGAAGCCAAATGCACGGTATGTGCTGTCCCGGCACTCATTGATCCAAGGATCCAGGCAACCCGAATTGGCACAAGGAGATTGAGGAAACTGAGAAAGCCAGGGAAGCAAGTCGAGGGAAGCGCTCAAAAGCTTGCACCTGACGCCCTCTAAGACTGGCCCATTCAGACGCAATGTGCAGTGGAGAAAAGGGTACAGGCAGTGCCACACTCGACTCGAACTTCCGTTTCGCACACCCCTTTGCGGCAGGTTCGTGCGAACTGGGCGAGATGAATGGAGAAGAAGCGTCAGAGTCCGAACAAGGCTCTTGGTTTCGGTGGGGCCATCTAGACCTTGTTAAGGCAGCGGCGTGCAACCCCAGCTTTGGTCTTAGCATTTCGGGACGACTGCTTGCAGCTGCGTGTCTGCTTCAGCAGAGCCTCGCGAGGTCACAAGCGGGCAGGGGCCCGAGCTGCAAGAGTTGCCAAGAGCAGTTCGAGCTCCCCAAGCCCCCAAGCAACAGTCGTTTCCTGATAGCGCCTATCTTTACGTGTCGAATCTTGTCCGTGGTGTATGGGTGTGGTATGGTGCCGTTCTCACGCTCCTCCGGGTCTGCCCCTGCTGTGGTGTCGTGATGCCAAGGGCAGCAAGGAGTCCCTCGATACCCCGCGGCATTTTCGTCTTGGGCTGGACACCGTTGCCCGGAGTCTGTCGCACAATTTTAAGCATGCCTGGCTTGACACTTGAGCAGGAGTGACATCCTCCCATGCGCAGCCATCGCGGCTTTCATCCTTGTCACCATGGTTGCCACCTCAATGTTGGTTCAGTCATACAGGAGTCAACAGATGCATGTGCATAGTCCCTGCAGGGGCTAGGCACCAGCCACACCGTCAACGAAATCTTCGAAAATATTCGCTCCTTGGAATGAGAACTCGCTTGTCGGCGTCGGCCGGGGCACGTCTCGGATGTTCCAGGCAAGTACGGACGCCCCTTTGACTGTCAAGCACGACATGCTGGAAGCTTAAAGTGCCAGAAGCAAGACTAAGCATGCGCGGACTGCTTGGAATGTGTAGCACTCGTCTGACAGAGCGCGCCAGATGGATTCCATTGATATTGAACCACCGAGCCAGCTGCCGGACTGTGCAGTGAAAGTTAGGCAGTGTCTGCATGCCAAGGCTCGCACAGGCGATTTGCTGCAGAGTGTGCTGAACGGGTTCTTTCTGCTGGAGTAGACCAGGGTCCCAGTCTTGAATTCTTTAATGTGGAGTCTTCGACAACTGCTGCAGAAGCAGCTGGTTCGGATGAGTGCGCCTGAATGCACAACGCCAAGATTGATTGAAAGGGTATGCAAGTGTCGCACCTTTTCCTGAAGTGTTGTCTTCCCGCACACGAGCAGTTGCACATTGAGACCTCGTTTGCTGCTTTAGGATGTTGATGGCCCTTCAGGCTCGTCCTGTCTTGCATGTTTGAGAGGTTTGAGGTGCTGTGGGGTGACCGTGCTCCAGTACATTCATCAGATACGAGGTGCCAACGCTTCCGAACAAGCTTGAGCATGCCAGGGATGCGCACGAATTTGATGTAGTGTACTGCATGTCAGCTAGAGCACAGAGACCCCATGCGGTAGAGCCAGAAGGCATAAGCGCCTCGAGCTCAGTCGCCTGAGATGCACCCGTCAGAATGGAAGCATGAGCTGCACGGAAGTCTGTGTAAGGCCTGAGGCGCATGGCCGAAGGCTATGGGGTGCCTGCTCGGCACCAAGCACTGCTGTCGCTAGCAGGCACTCGGGTCACTGTCGGGACATCTCAGGACGTGGCCGTTCCTGGTGTCGCCTTGCCGCGGCCGAGTCGAGCACATGAGGCGAGTCGCTTTTTTGGAGCGTTTCAAAGCGATCTCCGAATTGATGTCTGTTGATGTGTTGTTGGGAAGACCCCTTGCTACGGTTACAACACATTCCACGAGTGTGGCATTTTTTCGATTCCTACTCCTAGGTGTGTTTCAGTCTCATGTCAGGTAGATGGCGGCCAACGACTTCTCAACCTGGTGCCAACTCCGACCTGGGAGCCCTTGCCACAGCCCACCGAACTTCTCCACTTAGCTACTACCGGTAGTTCCGAGTACTCTCGACAAAACCTGAGGTGCGGCACGAAGACGGCGGTGACCTTGGCGTTGCTGCTTTGTCGATGATGCGAGACACATGAAGCTGCTGAGGCGAAGATTTGGGAGCCGGGGTGCGCAGAAAAGCTTTCTGTGGTATGGCTTCGTGCAACGCTTTGCATGCAGCCTGGTGTAGCTATATTGGCCGTGTGCGTGCACAGCCCGGTTGGCTTTGGAGCTCGCATCTGAGAATGTCTTCAGCACGAGCACGCAGCATGGACACCCTACTGTGCCAATGAAGCGGCCGTAACTGGGAACAGGAGGCAGACTTTCCTCCTTGTGCCCACTTCTTTTGCGTAGCATGGGCCTATGCCCCGAACCCCTTTCAATCCAGCTATCTTGTGCATTTGATGGCCTTGAGCCCTGATTGGTTCAGCTGCGTTTGGCTCTGAGCTGTTGGTCCCTGACCCCCAGTTGTTCGTTCCTGATCCCTGGTTGCCCCCAAAGTGAGACGGCCACTGGAGCGCAACATGCCAGAATCGTACGCACAGCCATCCCGGGCGATGTCTGATCCTTGAAAACAATTGGGCGCAAACTGCAGCTGTTACGGTTGTTCAACACTCAACAAATCCTCCCACCGCTCGCTCCACTGTCTGGATTTTGACGAGAAGTTGAACCCAAACATGGGACTCTTCTTGCCGCCCAACTCGGCTACTACTGTCGGATTTGCAGCAAGTATTGCAGGGCTGCGACTGCCTTGTTAAGACTTGCAGGTGCGTGTCGGTACTAACTGGACGTGCTTCGCGGCTGCGGCTCTAAGACCCGCGAACCGAGTGTGATGCAGCAAACATGCTGTGTTGGGAATCCTCGACGTGGGCCCGATGTTTAAGATTTCCAAGACAATCGTCGAACCAGCGTCGAACATTCCATTCGGCTGCGTGTAGCACTTGGAAAGTAGAAGCCAATGAGAAGAGCATGTCACGGGACTCTTGCACAAGTTGACACGTGTGCATGCGTGTGTAAAGCAAGCACGAGGTACACGCTCTCGCCAGCCACCGAGAACTGGGCCCGACATGTTCGGGAGGTTCGCTTGTGCGCTTGACATCTCAGCGAGACTTATGCCGCTTGGACACATAGTGTCCTTTGCAGGCAGATCGTGCTCAGCCTGCGCTGGCCATTGGATTTGTGGGTGCTACTTCGGCGGGGAAGAGCTGGCTAGCGGCTCGTCTGAACCTGCTGCCGCTGGCAACGCTCGCCTCCCGCTCGCAGCCCCGCAGCTCTGATCAGGTTAGCAAGCTGCAGAGTGAGGGTGCAGCTCAGCCAGCTCGTTTCGAGCAGAGCTTTGTGGGAGGCGTCGGAACCCTTTCCTCGGCTGCGCTGCATCGCACATGTAATGTGCCTGCTTGTGACAGGTGTGGACCTGCAGTCTATGACATCCGACATTAACTTATACCTGGATCCCGTCACATGCTCAATTAGCTGTAGTTACAATGTCTGCCTTGGACTGGGGTGTGCAAGTGCAATGGACTTTCCGACTGTCCTGTCAGGTTGATCAGATCTACTACGTGGACTTCGAAGGGTGAGCCAGCCCTCTCCTGCCCTCGCTGCAATGTAGATGGTGGCTTGTCGTGCTGCGAGGACATACGGCACACTGCCGTTGCAGTACTATGCGGCCGATATGGCCAAGGCATGAGAGGGGTTCATGGTGGGCACTTGAGCATCGGTTGGCAAGGTGTGCAGCTTGCACAGCACATTGCCCGATTCCTGCAAGGTGGTGCAGCGGTGTGCCGATGTTGCGTCCTGGGAAGGAAAGCGCCGTCAGGCCGGATCTGGGCCATGCCAACCACAGTGGCCACAGCAGGCTGTTTGAACATCTGTCGCAGAGGCCCTGAAGGAGTCCTTCCAGCCAGCCGTTGCATACTTGATGTGCGACGTTCCCGCCTTGGTATCGCAATTGAAGCGGTCCGCTGCAGCATCGGTGGGCAAATCCGCTGAGGTCGTTGTATTCCTGACTCGGGACGGGCCGCCGCATGAGCCATTTCAAAGAGAAAATGTCACGATGTGGCAGGAGAAGCTGGTTTGTCGGAGGGCCTTGGAGGAGTTCCAATGCCCTTGAAGCGCTGCCGAACGAGTGGATTTTTCGATTACTCCTCTCTGGTGGTCAGTGGGGCATGTCGTGTGTTACGTGATGCCCGACGAAACTTGCCACACCACTGTCCCGACCCCCTCCCCATAGAACGTGGATTTTCGCACCGGTCTGAAGTACCTTACCTCGGAAGCTCTGGGAAGGTATCGAGTCATGCCACCCCCTAACTGTCTGAAGTTACCGTGAAGGCTCCATCATCATGGTTTCGTGCTGCATCCTGCCTCACAGGAGTGCGAGCAGTTCGCGCGAGCTGCAAATGCAAGAGTTGTTCCAGCCTTGACAGTTGTTGGCTGGATCTGACGGCTGTTACCTGCTTCGCGTGCATCCATCCATCAGCCTTCGTGCCCTGCTGCGCCAAGTCCAGCGCTCTTCCACCAGCCTTGATCATTGTGCAGAACTGCTGTAGGCCTGTTTTGGCGTTTGCATGTCTCTGCATGCTTTTTGGCTTCGTGAGTTCATGTGAGTTGAGCACGTCTTGCCTTTCAAGGCCTAGCGAAGGAATCTTCGATCCGGACTCCAGCTTAACTACATGATGTGCTGTGCCATTTTTGCCGGTACATGATGCGTGAAGATTATAGTGGGCCTTGAGGGCTCCTGTCCTGACATTTGGGTGTGGTGCGACGGATGTCATCTACAGGAGAAATGCACAGAAGCCTTTCGCCGTGCCTGGCCCTTGGCGCACTTCTTGCTGTCCTCCTGGTCTACGACGCATGCGCGGTGGCCATTGTGTGCCATAACTGGGCCATAGCACTGTCCATTAGTTGGCGCCGAAGGCTCACTTCAGCGCAGGCCGTTGGACACCAGGCTGCAGCATGCACCAAGCCTGCTTCAACTCCAGACTGGCTGTGGCGAAGCCGAAGCCAAGAACACACCCAGGAACTACGATGATCCTTTGCAGGAGGGAGCAGGTGGTCAAGTAAGTTCCGTCAGGGCCTTTCAGCATCATGTTGGCACCCTGCCTTGCGAGACATCAGCTGAAGGCGGCAGCACAGTGGGCTGAGTACTTCAGGCCCGGTTGACGCTCATTGGGATCGTCAAACTGATCTCATGAAGCTCTGCCTCTTGAGATTGCCCGCACGGACAAGTCGAACAAAAGCTCATCTGCAAAACATGCATGCGAGGAGCATTGACTGCTTCTGCTTACCGGACGAGTGCGCGGTGCACGAAATCACGCAGAGCTGGCCTGTCACGGCATACCAGGCACTTACTTTGCCAGGTATACGTTCTGCAAGCGAAGTGGCTTTGATGGTGAAGAAGTCTGCAAGGCTATTGCATGACTGTCTTGGCAGGGGCATGGGGCTTTCGATGGCTTTCGAATTTTGGCAGCTCTTCCCGTCCTCATTTGGATTGTGTCAGCGGGTTCGGCATTCCAGCTTGGGTGCGTGGACCTGTAGAATCTTGTTCCCGGAGCGAGGTGGGTGGGTGGGTGGGTGATGGCGAGTCGCGGGAAGGGTGGGGGGGGGGGGGTTGGGCTGAGATCGGGGAGAACTTTTATGTCTGTCAAGATCGGAGAGCTTCTTGAATCGGTGCTTGCCTGTTGCAGCTGAAGTTTGTGCGAAAACCATGCATAGTGCATGGTGTGTTAGGATTCTCTGTCCAGGAAGTGCTGATGAAGCTGAAAGCCACGATGAAGACCCGCTTGGAGGAGGTCCCTCCCCGCCTTGAGCAGCTCTTCGGCCTTTCCGTGGCGAATTGCCAGGGCCTTCCTGCTCGCGCCGAAACCGGTGTGTCCCTGCATCAGTTTCAATGGTTGGTGCCTGAGATCTTTGTGTTGTGAGATTCCGTCCTGGAAGCTAGAACTGCACGGCAGGTTTGCTGCCTTGTCGTCCCTTTGCGGGATCATCAACGATCAGGTTGCGCACCCTGGATGTTGCGACTGTTGAGCACAGCACCTGAGCCGACTTCAGCGCCCTCATGTACAGGAAACGGTGGCAATGTCTGCGATTTACATTCACGCCGGTGCAACATCTGGTGGGGTCAACGAGCTGAAATCACTCCTACTGCAGATCATGCACCCCGCGAAGTGTTCTGGCTGCAAGTAAGGCTTCGGAGTGATCGATACCAAAATTGCAAAATCTCGTTTCAACACGAATATTTGTACGAACAACTACTGCCTTTGGTCGCAGGCGGCCCGATGTCGTCGACCCACAAAACTTTCAGCTTAGGCAGGAAGTCGCGGCGTCATTCATACGAGCGGAACCACTCGCGACAAGTAGGTATGAGCAATTCACCTGCAGGCTGGGCGTGGCGATTGGCATCATTGCCCGGTTTGCTGTTCGGCATGATCTCGCCGAAGACGAGATCCATCAGGCGGCGAGCTCTCCAGTTATACAAGCAAGGACCCAGCCACGATGGACGGTCTTGGGTGCAAAGCAGCTCGTGCAGGTGGTGAAATATCTCTCGCTACTCTTCCCATGTGGCGCCTTGGCCCCACCGGCTGTTGAAAGAGCCGATGGAAGCACCCGGCTCAGTGCACACAGCAGGCTGAGTGCAGTGGCTTGCTTCTGCCAGTCGGCAGCAATTAAGCGCAACTGGACGCTCCAAAACTGAATGAAGGCACAGAGCCCGTTCCGTGTGGCCAGCTTCTACTTTTCCACAAGGCGCGGCTCCGAGACAGTGGCAGAGTATCATTGCAGGAACAAGTCTGTCAGGGGCTGCACCGTTCCAGCTGTTTGGCGCGGGCCTAAGACGGACACTAGTGAGCACCGCGTGAGTGTGCTTTACGAAGCAGTCATGCCTGCAAGATCCTGGAAGCCTGGAAGTGCGGTGAGGGCCAGCGTCGAATCAACGCAGTTCTTCCCGACACCCTTTTAGAGACTTACTTAGCTCGACATGGCTCGACCCCTCGCATTATCTCGCATTGAAACTTTAGCAAGAGCAACTTGCTGGATGGCCCCCAGGTGAGAACGGTCGAGGCGGGTTGGCTGCAACACCTCAGCGAGTGGCTACAAGGCCCGTTTGTTGCCTTTTCCAGGGGGACGGCTACGCAAAGTTTGCAGGTGGCGTCACACACGCATGGCCTGGGGAGCCGCTTGGTCGCAAGGACCGCGGGACCCAAGCCGATGCAGCCGCAGCTGCGCGGCATAGAAACGAACACGGACTGCAGGGACTGCACTGCTAAAGTTTAAAGTTGCGCACAAGGTTCTGTTGCCTGGAAAGCCTCAAGGAGGCCTCTGTTTCACAAGTTCTCTGCAGTAGCTCGACGTACAAGACAACTACGTGCGCTTCAGGTTTGGGACCACGGGGTGCTCACGGCTTCTGTGCTTGAACAGGCTTTGGTCTTCAGAGGCAGTGCTTAGAACATGCGCTTTCGCCACTGCCAGGTAGAAGAGTACAAGGTTGAGAAGTGCCTTGAGGCAAGACTTGCAGCAGGAGCAGCAGTATGCAGCTGTCTAGAAGTTCTGTCGCTTTCTGAGCCAGGGCGTTTCTCCAAAGGTGGGCACACCCTGGGTCTTGAAAGCCGCCTCCTGGGTGCATTCGTCACCATTCACCGCATTCACAGTCTTCATCAACAGTCTTGGCTTGCTGGGTTGTTGTTCTGCTGGCGCATCTGTTCACCTGGCTCGAGCCAGTGACGTACTGCCCACAAGAGTTGGCTCCGAACCAGCAAGGCCGACGACGGGGACATTACCCCAACGTGCTGTGTGGATCATTGACTGGACATGCCTTTGTGATGTTCGCCGCCAGGATGTTGTGAAAAGTCGCCGATCCCATTCTCCTGATATGGACCCTGCGCAGGCTGCACCGGGCCTAGATGCAGTGGAAAACCTTGACAGCAGTACATCGAGACCGTCGAGACCCGAGGCTGCGATGAACCCCTGTGCCCCGTGCGCCGGGGTGCAAGTCGAAGCGCAGGCTCCGGTATTTGCAAAATTGGGCACATGCTGAGTCGTTATAAGATTCATAAGGTACTCGTTATAAGGTACTGCTTGGTACTACTTGCAAGGCTAAGGACGAACCCGAGACTCAGGGTAGGGACGGTAGGGTTTTTTGGTTTCGCTTCAGGCGCCTCCTGCCGGCTGGAGCCAACACGGTTTTGCACCTCCCGCCGGCTGGAATCCACCTCAAGACCCAAGTGCGGCCTGGAATGGCTGCCAATATCCGCCCCAGGCGGCCCAACCGCAACCTGCCGAGCAGCAGCCACCGCAGTACCAACCACAGACGCAGCCACAGCCACAGCCGCAGATGCAACCACCACCTGTGCAGCCACACATGCAGCCACACATGCAGCCGCAGATGCAGCAGCAGATGCAGCCGCAGATGCAGCCGCACATGCAGCCGCAGCAGTACCCGCCATATCCCCAGCCCCAGTATCCACCGCCCCAGCACTATCAGCAGCCTCAGTATCCACCGCAGTACCCTGCCTACCCACAGCATCCGCAGCCCGGTCAGCCGGTGGCACCAGGGCCGGTTCCTGCGTATCCTCAATGGCCGGGACAAGCGCCAGCAGCCGCGCCGGCCCCTAATGGCAGCGGGTGGAAGCTTGGACATCAGAACTATCATGCTTTGTTCTGCTGTGACGCTGTCGGACCTTGCCCAAGTAGCACCTGATGCTCAGGCCATGCCAATCTTCGCAAGGGCGTTTCTTGGATGCAGCGCAGTACCTGTTGATTCTTTCTACATCGTCTTATGCCGTGCGGTAATTACGCAATGGGCAATGCTGCGGCTTGGACTCGAATCCTCGAAGGGCTTCGTTCCGAGAAAAAGTTCTCCGGAAACATTTCGGAATGGATTTTTAGGCAGTGCCGGCAGTCAGCTACGTGTTCGGGCCGGGTCCTCGCAGCACTGGAGAAAGCGTGATTTTGCTTTGCTGACGATTCTTGAGTGCAATCAAACGGTCCCGAAACTGCAACATCTGGCCGTCCTAGTTCTTGTGATTTGATTTGAGACTCGGTTTCTTACAGGCCGCGCGCGGCCACCACGTGGTGTTGTCGGTGCGCACACGAGTCTGTGATGTGCCCGCGCAAGGCTCAATGTCCATAGCGGAGGCATGTGTTGAAGCTGCCAGCGGTTCTGCAGGCGAGACTGTTCAGGCCTGGAGAGTGGATGTGCTGTTACACGTCTTTAAATCATGAAGCTTGAACCATGCCATAAAACAGCAGCTGGTCTGCACCTATCCTCGTGCTAGCGGCCTTGTGTCTGTGAACCATCAAGATCGAAAGACTCGAGCTCTTGATGGCTGCTGCTTGCGTCGATCTAATTCTCGAGCGTGGTCTTCGCCAGACAGTTTAGCGATTCAGATGAGGGATTTGTTGTTGTGCCCCTGACAGGACACAGATGTCAGAGTCATTGACTATGATGAGCGAGCCTTCTCAGCAGATAGTTTTTTTCCTCTGTCAGAAACTCGATGTCTCCGTGAGTTGCACTGGGGAATATTTGATGGAAGTGCAGGTCCTCTTCCTTTGCACAAGTTCTGGTCTTTTGACCAATGTGCTTCCAAGCTGCATTCGCTGACCTTTACCCTTGTGTTGCGACATGTGCAAAGCATTTTGAACATCCAAGGCACAGTTCTTCCCCCAGAAGCTGATAGACGAGCTGAAGAAGTCTTTCCCCGCACCATCTCAAATTCAGGCTTTCACTTGGCCCTTGGCATTGTATGGCAAGGACACCGCCTTCACTGCGAGACTCGCTCGCAACAGGGCATTGGCAGGGAAGCCGAGCGCCCGTCAGGACGTAATTGGCATTGCAGCAACTGGCAGCGGGAAGACGCTGGCGTTCTTGCTGCCCGCTTTTAGCAGCCGTGGCGGCAATAGATCGGATGCCGAAGGCACACTACATGTCTTGAGCATATCAGTGTTCAACATGCTGCGTCTTGCTGCAGTTGTCAGCCGGTGAATGTCCCAGTCGGCTTGCCGAGGTGACTTCCACAAGTCAGGCTTGGGCAGCGCATCTACATAGCTTCAGAGTGAGCTCAGCAGTTTCGATTAGGATCTTGGTAGCTTCGCCTTGGCCCTTAGCCATGGTATAGAGTATAGACTTGGTAGGCTTGCAACCGCAGCGAGATGGCGTTGGACTCGTGGTAATGTCGCCGACCCGAGAGCTTGCGCAGCAAATCGAGGCTATCTGGCAGCAGACCTTTTGCAAGTTGTTGCCAGCTGAAGTGCGAAGAAAGCACAAACAGAGGTCGAGGCCAATCGCTTCGGCAAATGTCTTGGGATGTGGACAGCCCCTGGTCCTGCATCTTCAGCAGGGACACGAGCAACCCTTCTTGCCAGCCTCTGCAGTCAGCATCGAGTTGCGTTCTGCAGGTTGCCATGTATGGAGGTGCGCCGAAATGGGATCAACAGAAGAAGTATCAGCAGGGAGTCCACGCCATCATTGCATGCCCGGGGCGCCTCAATGATTTCATTGAGGGGCGACAGGTGCAGGCTCTTCGGCATACGAACGGTTGATTTTCCATCGCCGTGGGAATGTATGTATGCACGCCCGACGATCAAGCCTCTGCTCATGTCTTGCGTTTCATGAGGTCAACCGAGTGCGAAAACTGGTCGCTTGGATTGGGATATCAAGCTTTTCGGAAGGTTCGAAACGTTTGGAGTACAGCATAGAACAGCCCTGAAGCTTAGTTGCCGCGAGGTGCTGGATGAAGCTGACAGAATGCTGGACATGGGCTTCGAGCCACAAATCCAAAAAATTCTTCAGCACATCCCCCGAAATCGACACACAATGTTCTTCACTGCAACCTGGCCACGGGAGGTGCCAGAGTCGATAGCACCGCCGTGTTTTTCTTAATGTTTCTCCACATTCATGCATGCCGCAGGTCCGGCAGCTTGCTGCTACGATGATGGGGCAGCCAGCCAAAGTTATGATCGGAAACCGTGATGAGCTGAAAGCGAATCAGGAGCTGCTTTGGTACAGCTGTCATCGCATCACTATAGCAAAGCCAAGCGCACGACTGGATGCAGGACGTCACTCAACAAGTTCGACTTGTTGAGAGCTCGCAAAAGAAAGCTGCTGTCCTGGAGTTGCTGCAGGAAGCAGGCTTGATGGACAAAGGCGCGGTCATGACGGGTTCAAACCACACACTGTGCTGTGGAATGTGGAGCATCCTGTGACGTAGGGTAGTGTTGAAGCTGGCCCTAGCAGTGTGGCAGAGGTGCCATGGGAAAGTGTTTGATCTTCGCGAGCACGAAGAGGATGTGTGAGGAGCTGTCGCGGCAGCTATACGCCTGTAATGTAGCCTGCTCTGCGATTCATGGAGACAAGGACGTGTGCCTGCAAGTGCCGCTCAGAGAACCGTGAGTGTCTTTGGCTGCCTCTGTTGCTGTGGGCACATGCAGGACCAACGGGAACGCGACATGGCATTGAATGGCCTGAAACAGGGCCGTCTCCGAGTTTTAGTTGCTACGGATGTAGCAGCTCGTGGACTGGACATCAAAGGAGTTGGCTTCACGGCTGCAGGTGGCAAGGAAATGACACATTAAGCCTCCGGACACATGGCAAGACTGCTGTGAGTCGTGCAAAGCCGAAGGCCTGGTGGTCAACTATGATGCGGTAACATGGATGCATACCTGATCATACCCGGCATGTGTGGCTGAGCAAGGGTGTTCAAGGTACCTGAAGTGTTGCAGTGGGTAGATCCAAGAAGCCTTCGCCAAGCACTCCATGGAGTAGGCTGTGATATTGGGGTGCAGCCCAGAACGGCCCAACGCCTGCGTCGTGCATGTCAGCTCGCATTCCGAGCACGCGTGCCCAGGCAAACAACTCGGAGGACTACATCCACCGAATTGGGCGGACTGGGCGAGCTGGAAAGAAAGGCTACGCCATCACACTGCTTTCCTCGGAGGACAGGGGCAAAGCCTCTGGGATCATCCAGGTGGCCTGAGGGTGGCCGGGGTAGGCTGAGCTCAGTCCCGCATTGATTCCTAGTCAAAGCGCCAGTGCACTTGTGTTGCGGTCTCGGTCAGAAATTTGCTCCAGGTCTAAGGTGTCTAGGCACCCTCATGTGGGGAACCGGGTTGGGGGGGGGTAACTCAGAATCTGGGAAGGCAATGGAGAGCACAAATCAGCACATCAGCGACGAGCTTCGGAGCTTCGCCAGACAAGGTGGTGGTGGAGGGAGGCCCTACCGAGGCGGTGGCGGAAAAGGCTCCTCCAAAGGCAGCTGCAAGTGGTGCGCCAAGGGGGAGTGCTGGACCCACGGCGATAAGAAGTCAGGCCGCAATCGGAGCCGCAGCCCTCGCAGACGATAGCCGGGGGATGCCTGGGGCCATCTTGCCAGTCAATTATTCTTCATGCGGGGTCCAATGAGCTCGCCCCCAGACGCACACAGACGTTGTGGCAGTTAATCTCTCACGGTCCTTGCAGGACATGAAAGTCTCGCAGCTGTCTTGTCGTGTCTCCGGTAGCTTGCCAGGCAGCTGGGGAAGGTGTTCCACTAGATGGAGCATTTAGGAGTAGTGCTCATGCGTTAACAAAAAGACTGTCTCAGTGTGCTGCTTAAGTTTCCATCACCTCGAGCTACAGCTTGCCCTTGCAGTGCTGGCTTGGGCACTGCAAAAACTGCACTCTCAGGCACACCGCAGCTTGTCCACCAGTGGCCTCAAGGAGTCGCGCTGTGCCTCCTTGTCATTGCCACCGCTGGAACTGGAATAGACGTGTGGATTCTTCCGTGCCCGAAAGCAGGTGATGCAGGACGCTACACGCCTTTGCGTCGTGTGCACTGATGCAGGCCCTCTTGCTTCAATCGCTGTGGTGACATGTGTTCCCTGCTCTGCACAAGGCTCAGACGGAGCAAATTTGTGGAAGCTTTGGGCGACGTAGAGTGCTGAGATCAGTTGATTCCATTTGCAGGAGAATCCTTCTGGGCTGGGCATGTCGTGCCAGGTCTTCTGTAGACTGTTTGCCTGTTTGCCCGATTCTCAAAAGTTCCTACAACTTACTCGCCGAGTTACGAACCTGGCATAAACCAAGGTGGTCATTGCTACGCCATCATGGAAAGCAATGGTTTATGCAAGGCGCCTCGCGTGCATGTGGAAACCGAAAGCATGATCGCTCTCGGCAAGCCACAAAACACTTTCACCATCAGCTTCTCCGACTCTCTGGGCTATGCACATCCAGCAACTGTTCAGGGGGCCACTGTGGCCCCTGCATCGATCAACAACATCAGAGAAGGCAAGTGTAGGTGTTGTTCGGGAGCAGTTCCAGTTCCTTCTCTTGGCTTCCTGACAGGTCGAAAGTGCGAAGCCTGCAAGGAGAAGCCCGGAAGAGTCATAGTGACACAGGACCTACGTAGATTGTCTCTCAGTTCAGTTCCTGGCTTGCAAGCGCAGCACATCCAGCTCTCCGGCACCGAAGCCTTTAGGCTCATTGCCTCGCCATGGGATGGGGAAGGAGTAAGGGCAGCAAGGGCAGCAAAGGAGGCAACAATGGCAAGGACGACAAGGACGGCGATGTCGTGCCTCAGTCTGGCTTCTTCGGTGGGGGTGGCTATGTGTCTCGGCAGAGGTCCGATGCATGCCCAAGAGCACATTTCCGGAAGTCTTTGCCGGGCAGTATGCCCAAGCTGGCTCTTCCCTACTGTTAATCCGCAACACACCGAGGCATCATTCGGGGCAACTTGGGCTGCAGCATCCATACCAGGTATTACCAGCTGCCTGGCACTTTTCCGTGAAGTCTCCTGCCTCAGGACTACATGGTGGAAAAGAATAGAAAGCTTAAGGAGCAGTTCGCAGCAGCTGCTGCAACTTCAGGCACATGGGCGAGTTTCGTTGCTAATCACGGCATTCGATGCTTAAAAAAGCATGTTGGCAATGCATGGCGATGCCACAGGTGAGACGGGAAAAGCGACGATCTTTCGAGGTCTCAGCTTCTGGATGACTGGCCGGACATGCTTGCCAGACCAAGAACTCAAGCGCATCATCGTGGAACACGGCGGCAGCTCGGAACTTTAATGCGAAAGCACACAGCTGAAGGTGCATCCGTGGAGTGGAAGTTCGGACTGCATGGATTGTTGCAGATCAGTCACGACTGACCCAGGTGTGTACGAACAGTATGGCTTCACACATGTCACGCACGTCATCGCTGACAACCTCGCATCTGGAAATCAGACCTGGGCAGAGCTCAAGAAGCGGTCGAAGCGTGTCAATGTGGTCACGTCTTCTTGGGTGACTGCATGTGTTCAAGAGGGGCGGCGACACTCGACTGAATCAAAAAATCAAGGTTAGGCAGTACGTGGCGCACTTGTAAACACTGCAGTTTTGTCCATGTGTCTCAAGGCCTTCCGGAAATGCGCCGCTTGCCTGAGCAGTGAAAACATGCAGGAATCGCTGTAGGTAGTCATTGGCAATTAGGATGTTGTACAAGTGGTTACAAGTGGCTCCAGGCTTCATGCCGAAATGCTTGTCGTCTGGATCGTCGATGCTCTCCTTCCTCCAGCCGGATGCTCGGAGGCCTTGGCCGCAAGGAGAATGTGTCGTCACCTGCAGCACGAAACCCACACCAGCAGCCAGAACTTCTGGCTCAAGCATGTCTTCGCTCACAAGACGGTGGCTTCGACTCATGAGCATGTCTCGTTGCTTAGCCACAGCCGCGCCATCCCCGTTGCTTACTAGACTGGATGGTCAGGACCTGTCAGCAGAGTGGTTGTCCTCCGTTCTGAAGCAGGCCGAGGAATCAGGGCAGCAGCCTCTTCACTCGAACAAAGTCTCTTCGGTTGGCTTTGACAACGCAACACAGAAGTTGTGGCCACAATCGCATTCAGTAGAGCTGCTGCTGACTCTTGAATCGGGGCCAGAGGCTGCCAAGCTCTTCTTGAAGAAGGTTGATGCGCAGCACATGCCAGCCAAAGCCGTGCACGCACTGCGCCGAGATTTGGAATCCAACCGAAACGAAGCGAGGTGGTACAAGAACTTCTCGTCGCAGCTTTTGCAGAGGGGTGTTCCTCTGCTGCGTGCACCACTCGTGGAGGAGCAGTTGGATTGTTTGGACCATGCTGGAGGTAGTGAGGCTGAGGATATCCTGCGTCGGGGCAAGATGATGTTATTGCTAGAGTGTGTGAACCAATCAGCATACACACAGCAATCTCCTTTAACTCGACAGCAGGTCAACCAAAGCCTCAAGCTGTTGGCAACCTTCCATGCGGCTGCGTGGGAAGATCGTGGCTTGCTGCAGCGTGCATCACAAATGCTGCACGCGCAAGGTTGCTACTGGGCACTGTCGCGCCGTGGCGAAGATGAGTTGCGACAGCTGCAACCAGTTTGGACCGCGTACATAGAAGCATTCACTTCGTATGCTACAGACTTGCTCAAGAAGCCAAGCATTCGAGACCTTGCACGGCGGCTCGAGAGCGTGGCACCCTGGGTAGCCTCGCAACTAGAAGCTTCTCCGAATGACAACTTCGCTACGCTGGTGCATGGCGACTACAAGGCCATGAACCTCTTTCTGCCTGTGGATGAGGATGACCGGCCGCTGCTGATCGACTTTCAGTGGACAGGTGTTGGATTTGGCATGGCGGACGTTGCTATGCATCTGTCGCATTCTGTCGAGACGGAGTCTGTGTTTACACACGAGGAGGACTTGGTGCGTGTGTATCATTCCCTACTCATCGACTTTCTGGAGCAGCGTGGTGCTGTCGCCGCTGCACAGGCATTTTCCTTCCAGACGGCTTGGCATTATTACACCTTGTCCTTTCTCGACTATGCGCGCATGGTAATCAGCTGCTTTTTCCGCAATGCCTCGCCGGAAAGCTTCAGGGCCAGAGGCCACAATCCCAATGTAGGATTGGTCTACCGAAATGTTGATGCTTCGTTGCAGTATATCCAGATTGTGGACCGACACCTTGCAGCCCTGGAGGCTGCCCAGGTATGCAAGCATGAGAGAGACGATGATGCGCGATCACGGTCTCCATGCACCCGCGAGCACTGACCATGGCGTATTTCTGGAAAGATGCAAGAGAGCTATTTAGTCTTGTAGATGGTGAAGTCCCAGTCGGCAAAAGATGCAAGTAGTTGTAGTGACAGCGTGTGGATTCATCCCTGGACGGTCCAACCTCTCTCCGCTCCCGTCCCCTCCCCCCTTTCCTCCCATCCCCCCTTCCCCTCCCCTCGCCCCCTCCCTCTTCTCCCCTCCCCCTTTTCTTCATCTTCAGTCCCCTTCCTCTTTTAGTCCCCTTCCCTCCCCTCCCTCAATTTGGCTTTCCTCCTTCACACTGGCAATGAACAAACAGACTAACCAAGTGCTGAGCCAGAAAGCAGACCTGGCCGCCATGCTTGGGTTTGCTCCGTTTCGGAAAGAGGACGTCGCACGGGCAGCTGCACTAACTGAGGAATCCCACGCCAGCAGAAGGCAGCTCTTACTGTTTCGACACATTGGGGTTTCTTCTGTGCACGCTGCGTGTTCTTTGTCTGTCCACTCCGTGGCTCGGAGGACCCGAGGATGCGGATGCAGCTGTATCGGTGCCCCATCGAGGAGCTCGAAAGATTGTAGGTAGACTAAGAAGCACAGAGCACAGCCATGGAATACGTGAGTTTCTGTTAGGAGATGTGGAAGATGGGGTGCAGAAACAGCCCCTTGCTTTCAACGTGAATCTATTAACCCACCCGTTCGGCCATAGTTGCTTGGTAGCTTGAGTATAGTGCAGAGCTCATGTCGTCGAATTCGAGGTCGCTGGATCTCACCTGCGAGGAGACACAGCCATGCTCGGCTGAGCAGGCGTGGCTACATCGACCTTGCATGCAGACAGCATGGTGAGCGCACAGCAGGTCGAAGAAGACGAGGATCCGCCAGCCTCGGCCAAGAAGAGACGGAAATCCATAGTTTCAGTGGATTCCGAACATCTTAGCCGCTATGGCTGCCACAAGCGTGCTCAGCACAACGGCCCTGAGCTGTGGATTCTGAGGCCAGACACCGCAGCGGATAGAGCAGAATTTCGCAACGTCTGCAGTTGCTTTTGAGGTGACGCGGCAACAGCGGCCTGCAGGGGCAAGTGTCGTGATAGTAGTTGATAGATGACAGTATGTCAGACATCACATATGGCACCTTGTCTGTGGCTAACGGAACCACGTGGAATCTTCAAAGGTTCCATGCTTTGAGTGACCTGGGTTTCAGTTGCGGCAAATGTATGAAGGCCCCAGGCTGCTACCGAAAGCCTGGGGCCGAGGTTTCGTGCTTTTATTTCGCGGTAAAGTTTGCTTGCCAGAGATGGGTTAAGCAAGGTTAATCCCCACCACCCCGAAATCTGTGTGCAATCGGAGCAGTGATGTAGACCAAATTCAAACTAGATGGTTTTGATGCCGAGTTTCGAGTCGGACAATGTAGGGTGCTCCAGGTGAACACTTCTTGCACGGAGGGGTTGGCTGGATTCAGTGAGTTGCTCGAAGTTCTGTCCGATCTTGCAGCCGGCGCTGCTCAACAGCTAAGATGCTCGTCCGCATGGAGAAGGTGTTTTTTTTGCGCTGCTGCAACCACTCTGGGGTTGCAGTTCAATTGAGGCGAGCAAGGTCGTTGCGCGGCAGCTGTAGGACTGAAGATCACTTTGGGACAGCGGCAGGCGGAGTGGAGTGGTACTTGGCCTGAATGTCAAGTGACAGTGCAGACCTATTTCGGTTTTGCTAAGGGTTTGGTTCGAGCCTGAATGCACCTTCCAAGCCTGGCTTGCATCGGGCAGTTGCCTCATGCGATTCTCCAGCGCCATCCAACCCCTTTGAGGCAGCCCAGCGGGATGCTGGTCATAGTAGCCAAACAGAGCAACTGACAGAGAGGGTTTGAATCCCAGAAGACTGTTTTCCGGCTTTTTCAGACATCCAACGAAGGGCCGAAATATGTGTCGGCACCGCCTGTATTTCGTGTTTTGTGTTGTCAGGTGTTGGCATTTCCATTCATGTATCTAGGGCTTTCACTGTTCCGACGTGTCGTCTAGAGTGTCGTAAGTGCTTGAAGCATTTTTTAATTCCAGGCATGGCCGGGACCGAGGGCCATGGCGGTCAAGAAGCTCTGCTGACTACCCTGACCTCGCTGGCACATCGGGCCGTGGCAGCTTTGGGCCTTAGCACTGGCCTCACCGCCGAGACTCCGCATGGAAAAGTCCACATAGATCCCGATGCTGGCTACCGAGCTCTTTGTCACGTGGGTATCCAACTGCATTTTCAGCACGGGCAAGGTTCTGGATACCAAGAGCCGGCACCTGCGAAGCCAAGCAAGCCAGATCGAGGAGATAGAGACTTGACCGGCAATGGCAGAGAGAAAACATGCAGTTCCGTGGCCGATCAGCTCACTGTGCCTGTGGCTCTGCGACCCGACGTGGCCGAGATGGCCAGCACCAGCCGTCAAGCCGCATTTTCGGTTGGTTTCTTATTTGTCGGAGCCAGAAACTGACAAATCCTAATGGAAGACGCCCATTCGATTTTAGGTGCTTTTCGTGACACGTCTCGGCGGTGTCTGTTGATTAAGACCCCCTGAGCCCAGAGTCATCCAGAGTCACCACTTCTTCTACTCAATTGCTATAGACATCTATAGACTATTTCCAGACGTGGGGCCCTGAATCTGACAGGAGATGCGCCAGCAACACCTGGGGTCTTTCGAGTCTTTCCGCAGTCCGACCTGTGCCCAGGCTGCGCAGGCATCCTCTCCGAACCCACTGCTGCCCGGCTGGACTGACTTGGACAGCTGCAAAGGCCATAAGTATTGCTGCTCTCACCTGGCAATCTATGCTTGTCCAGGCTCGATCCACCACCACACACCGACCTCGATGGAAAGTTCTGTCCGTCTGGGCACCGGATGCTGCTCAGCCAATCGAGAGAGCTTATGATTGTTTTTTATGAAGGGGTGCGCAGCACCTCAAGCATCCTTGAAGATCCCGTCTTCGAATGTAGACGTTGAGTTCCGGTCTTCTGCACAAAGTTGAAATCTGCGGCTCTTGCTCCGCCCAGAGTCAATGCCAACGCCACTTCAGCTTCGTCCGACCCGCTGCTGCTCCGTTCGCTTCCGAAGATTGCTGTTCCTGTCTAAAAGTATGTAGCAGAAAATGTTGTGGTTGCAAGTGCTGCTGCAGGGAGACGACAGCAGAACGGCTTGGGAGGGAGGATAGATTCCAAAAGGCATTGTACGATTGCAGTCAGACGAAGGAAAGCCCTTTTTTTGAAGGCATTTGTCATGTGAGGTTCTGCGAGGTGAGGGCAGCTCTGATGATGCAGGGTGGAGGGGGTGTTGGCGGGTGAGTACAGCAGGATTTTGGCGTTCTCGCAAGTAATTGTCGTACTGTCGGATTTTCCACTTGTCCGAGCTTGCTGGTTGATCCAGCCAAGAAGGTCAATGCACAGCAGCTCATCGATCATTGGCGGGCAATCTGCCATCGGGTGCAAGGTGGCATTATCTTCTGCATGTGGGAAAAGCGGCTGACAGAGAGCGAAAGGCTTTTCCCTCTCTGGGAGGCTTGCAGAAAGGATCAGTCAGTGAGTGGCACAAAGTCTGTCACCCTCGGGCCGGCCACACTCCCGGCGTCGCTGCCAGTCTCGACCTGCATGCTGCTTGGCCGCAAGAAAGCGACCAGGACGTCGAGATTTGCAGTGGTTCCAGCAGCTGTGCAGAATGCCAACCCAGACTGCATCTGGCGAGGTCTATGCGTTTGAAGAGCTGCTGGCGCGAAAAGAATTTGAGGTGATGCCGTTGTGAATTGGCACATCCACACGAACGCAGCCAAACATGTGCGGGCTAATGATGCCTGCACTGTTCGCAACCCGTAGGTCGTTCATTTGGCTTTGCGGGCACTTCGCGCAGCAGTCAAGAGCCGTGTGGCTTGCACACTCCGTGGAGACGGTGCCTTGGTTATGCATTGTCGGAAGCGTAATGAGTCAATCGAAAGAGTAAATTTTGCTCGGTGACTCGGTGGGACAGAAAGAATGCCGCATTGTATCAGCCAGCCTTTTTGCCAGGTCAACTGCCCACACCGAGCCATTTCAATGCATTGCTTTCGGCAGTGCAACGATCCCTGGCCGGCGACAGTGGTGCTCGCTTTAAAGTGGCACCACTGGCACTGCCAGAAGCTGCAGAGAAAAGGTGAGACCGCCGTCCCGTGCTTCCGTGCTCTGGTTCAGACACGGCCACAGGTACTGTACCATATCTTACGCACATCCGCTCTGATGAGCAATGCAGGAGGGGGGGGTGGGGCAACTGATGCAGGGCACAGCAGAAGCGGAGCACGTGGAGGCCAAAGCAGACCATCGGCTGCAGCCTTGCAGGCTAATCGACGGCAAGTTCTTTAGTTGGTGTTGGGACGTTGAAACTCTTCTTTCCAGCTGTTGCCTTGACCAGATGTTTGGTGTGCAGAAAGTGCGCAGCCCTCGCCCCAGATCGTCGACTCATGTTCATGTAACACGTGTCAGCTTGGGAGTGAGCAGGAGAAGGTCGCCTGGAACGAACGCTCTGTGTGGCTCTTGGTTCACTGGAGTCTGCTGCATCACTCGAGAGCTTGAGACGGAGGAGCGTCTTGAATATCAGGTCTGTCCAATTTGTGGCATGCGAGTGCAGTGGCTGGCTGACGAAAGGGTGCGCCACCACATCATGTGGGCAATGCTTATTTGCAAGTGGACTTGTTGAGTCTTCGCCTTGGTTTGTTCCTGACGTTAGGCATTGATTGCCACCGGCTGGCGTGTGACACGTCCAACTGCTACCAGGACACTTGGCAGAGTAGACAGAAAGTCGGTGCTGCTGCCGATGCAGTTCCTTCACTTTCTCCAGTGGAGCTGAGGCAAGACAAGTGCGGTATTTGTGTGAGTCGGGCAAAGTAAGGGGAACTCCAGACACATGGGTGCGGGATCCTTTCTGCAATCGACGAATGTTTCACATAATTTTCCACGACGGAACTTTGCACCTGCCGCAGCGCCAGTGCATGCCTGTCGCATAGTTAATTATTATCTCGAACCGGAAAGGTTCGACGCTTGTAATATTATTTTCTGTTTTCTTGGTCTAATTATGAACTTCAAGAATACTAAGTTTCTTAATTTTGGATAAGCAATAATTTTTTGTGGTTCCTTGGATTTCCAAAATGAGCTCGCACTATTCAAGATAGATTCAAATGGATAATAAATAGAAATTAAGTTATTCGGTACGATTCAAAATAAATGAGATGAGGCCATTATTGTGATATAGATTTAAAAAACTGCGATCTATGGCGATTAACAAATCGATAAGAGACGTTTTTAAGGGATATTATTGTTATTCTAGTTCTTGGCTCTAGATTTCTTTGAAGAGAGGATTTTAAGAATTTAGATTTTATGAAAAAATATAGAGGTTATAGAGATAGAGATAATAAGATGATATATTTAAATAAAAAAGAATAGATTAATAAGTTTACGATTATTTATATACTTTAGATTTATTAATATTTGGAAAATGCCTTTTTTATAATATTTTTTATAAATGAGAAAATATAAAAAGATAAATTTAATTGGACTTATCGATTTGAGGCCTTTATTATTCGTAATCTACTTTCTTATTGGTACTATTATTATTTGCGATTGATATAAGTATTATTATTATTTCTAATTATTACTACCCTTTCGCCTTTACCTTGCCGTCTATTTGTCTATTTTATATATTCCACTTCTCCTTTCGCTCCGCTTCCCTTCTATTCTATTCCACTATACGCTACTCCACACCACACTCTACTACCCCAAATTATAAAGCCCACCCACTTACTAACCCCACCCACCCCACTCAATTATGAATTATAAATATAGTGCGACTTTAATATGATATAATACCACGTTGTTTATTATAGAAATGCTAGATTTAAAGATAGAATATTGCCGAACGAGTATACGATATATAATTAATATTTTTATATGGGATTCCGTGTTTATACGACCCTATATAGAGATAAAGTATTATATGATAATTAACCAATTTTGGGATATTCTTACTTTAATATTTGAGGATAGACGAGAAGTATGATAAGAATTTTCCGCCGCAAATTCAAGTTGATTAGAAATGGAGAGGCAGGGCCGCTATAGACGGAACGGGGCAGAGACTCCTGTTCTGCCCGGAGTAGAAGTTCCCAGGCGCTCACTATATTCCAGTGCCGCGCGAGTCAGAAACTTCCATAATCTAGCTTTTAGATATCGGACCTCCGCGAGGAATAAATTATAGAACACAATCTGGAAGCACAAATTATAAAATTAGAGCAGAAAAAGTAACACAAGAAGGACCATAATTTGGAATCACAAACTACAAAACTAGAGCAGAAAAAATAGCAGCAGCAGGAGCACAATTTGGAAGTATAACTTACAAAATTAGAGCAGAAAAAATAGCACCAGAACCAGCACGATTTGGAAGCACAAATTACAAAACTAGAGCAGAAAAAATACCACCAGCAGGAGCACAATTTGGAAGCACAAATTACAAAATTAGAGCAGAAAAAATAGCATTAGCAGGATCACAATTTGGAAACACAAACTACAAAATTAGGGCAAGCAAAAAAAAACAGGCATCAGTAGGATCATAATTTGGAAGCACAAACTACAAAATTAGGGCAAGCAAAAAAAAACAGACATCAGTAGGATCACAATTTGGAAGCACAAACTACAAAATTAGGGCAAGCAAAAAAGGAGCAGGCAGGGCAGCAGAGAAATCATAATGAAAGCAACTTCTGGCCTGATTCTATTCTTATACTTTATATAAGGTGCGCGAGCAAAAAACTAAGGAGCATAATTTAGATGCACAAACTACAAAATTAGAGCAGGAAAAATAGCACCAGTAAGAGAATTTGGAAGCGCAAACTACAAACTAGAGCAGGAGCACAATTTGGAAGCACAAACTACAAACTAGAGCAGAAAAACTAGCACCAGAAGCAGCATAATTTGGAAGCACAAACTACAAAACTAGAGCAGAAAAAGTAGCACCAGAAGCAGCACAATTTGGAAGTGCAAACTACAAAACTAGAGCAGAAAAAACAGCACGAGAAGGAGCACAAATTTATAATCCAGGATTAGGGATTTAGAGGTGGCCCAGCTTTCAATATTAAACTTGGTCGACCCGCACGGACCGGCCTGGCCCGGACCCGGGTCCAGTACTACAGTTGGTCGACCCACCCAGACCCAGGCCGGGCTAGCGGCCCATGACTCGTCACCCGAAACTGGAATTGGCCGACAAGACCAGACGACCCCAATACTAAATTTCACCCGGAACTGGCCCTGCCGAGCCCCCAAGCATCTGAATACTGCCCCGTCTCCCTCCTCCCCATCGAGAAACTGACGCCCAAACTACCAACCAACTACCACAGCAACAAAGCAATACTGCAACAACCTCAAATTGCGTTTGACGGAAGGACGGCGTTTATGTTCGCAGGCTCTGCTCGAACTCGCTGATGAAATTATAAATAATTTCTGATATCAATACAACTACAACTATATCTATAAGCATTAGTTTGAAGAGACCACGAGTATAATTGAAGCTAGTCGAGAAATAAGATCTGATGAGATAAATTTGATATGTTTTAGGCTATATAAGTTACTTTTGTCTATGATATATGATATGATGTAAGACATATATGGTGATACATGATACAAGAAAAAGATTTTTCGGAATTGCTTTTGTCTTTAATAATAAAACACCTTGAAGACGAGGTCCCGCGATTCTCCAGTTTCGAGTCTTAGGTTTACTCTTTGGGGGCCAGGGGTGAGGTCAAGCGTTTTAGAATTTGGTACAGAAGATTCCGGAATTAGGCCTCAGGGTTTGGGAGTCCTGTTCTAGTCCCCAGGGTCTGGGAGGAAGGTTAAAGCCAAGGTGATTTTACCATAATCCCAGAAAGGCTTACGAGCTTGTGCTAGTTTTTGTGCTCCTCGTTCTGCCCACTATTAGTGCGCAAAGGCTACTCCGAATATATATTATATTTATTAATATTGGTCTTTAGATTAAAAATACAAATCGAATATTTCTAAATAAATAGTCTAATCTCGTGAATCGACGTATTTGTATTGATTTATATTAAATATATCTTATAGACTAATTTTCTATAATGCTACGAGATTATGATTTTTCGAAATATTTCGTATTCTTTATCGAAGATATTTTGCGAAATTATTTAAATATCTAAAATTTAGGCTTCTATTTAAACAAGAAGAAAAATGATTGAGATATAGAATATTTGAGGTCGATTAAAAATATATGATTTACGAAATATGAGATTAATTAGAGTATCTAACCTCATAATTAATTATGAGATTTTCTCATATATTCGTTCTGTCCATTACTTAGATTAACTTAATTTTCATATCTATTGGGAGATTCGTAGAATATCTCTGAATTCTTAATTCTGTAGATTTTCTATCTTCTGAAAATTTAATCCTAGAGACCGTCGTGAGCCCATAGATTGGCATAAGAATCGTTGAAATAAGAAAGATTCCGTAGAATGTCGAATGAGCAAATATTATGAAATGAGAATATCTACGTCTATAGATTATTATGAGATCTTTTGGAATTTCCAATCCAGATAATTATGAGTCTTTTAATGGACTCCCTGGAGTATTTAATTCCAGACGAATATGAATATAGACTCCTATGAGATTTCCTGGAATACGTAATTTCCAGATTATTGTTAGATTCTTCGAAGTGCTCAAATTTATGGCTTACTTTCAGAATCTCTGATCTGTTTTAATCTTGAGGTTTATAAGAATATCCAATTCTTCAGATTCTTTATATTGTCCGCTCCCTGGAATGCCAAATCGAGAGACTACCGTGAGATTCCTTGAAATATCTAGACTAGTATATAACCAATCCCACAGATTACCGTGAAACTCTGCGGAATATCCAATCCCAGAGATTTCCACGACATTCCCTGGCGTGCCTAAACCCAGAAACTAATATGAGATTTCCTAGAGACCTCAATCCAGAGATCCGAAGTCCCTCCTTTCCTTGCCCACCCTCCCAGACATTTATAAGACTCCTTGGAGAGTCCCATGCCAGAGACTAATATGAATGCTCATCTCCATAGGTTATTATAAGATTCCCTGGAAAGCCCACATCCATAGACTAACAAGAGATTCCCGGCGTGCCCACCCCAAAGCCTCCAGGGAATCTCTCTGGAGTACTGAATCCGGGGATTCCAAGATCTTTTATTCCTCCTTGATCTGCATCGATCTCATATTTTGATACGGAGACCCATCCATATCTATGATATCAATCAATGATATAATATCATTATAGATCGTCGAATGACCTACAACGAATCCTCGCATTTAATTCCATATATGGATCATAATATCAATCAATGATATGATTTTATAGATCGTCGATTATCCTATATCGAATATTCGTATATTCTTATATATAAATAGGAATCTTACGATCATAACGTCGATTAATGATATGATGCCATGAATCGTCGAATAATTAGAACCCGAATCGAATATTCGTATTTTGCTATATTTACGAGAATTCTAGGTCCGTAATATCGATTATTGATAAAATATCATGAATCATTCTTCGATTTGAGCCCTCGTATATTTCTATTAATATATGGGGATCCGACGTCAATATCATCAACCGATTTTATGATCTCATGAAATATCGAATAATTTGAATCGAATTTTGGACTTTATTATATGATCGGGGACTCTATGATCATAAAATCAATCAACGATATGATCCATAGATTCTCGATTGAAACCAGTCGAACGCTCATATTTTGACATATATACGGAACTCCACGATCATAACACATCGTCTGATTACAATAACTGAACGGAGCCGTGCCGATTTGACCTGCGCATCTATTATCTTATTTCTTCTA